CACCCCAACAGCACACCCTGCATCAGGGCAGGCTGGCTGGCTTGGGCAGGGAGCGATGCTGATACATTTATGCTGCCTGCAGACCCAGAGGTCTGCGTCATGGGCAGCAGGGCACCTCTGCAACATACTTCGTTGTAAAAATTCAAAGATACCTAACGAAAGCAAAAGGAAATGAGATGTATTGTTTACGTCACTTAAGGTACAGTCTTTCCAGCCTGTATTCTTTGAGTCCAGACTCTTTGCCAAAACCATTTTTGTGTACGGTTCTTTCTAACAGGGGGTTAGTTTCTGTCCAGTGTAAACATGTATAAACCAATTAATTACTGCCTACACTGGCCAGGAAACTTTGTCAAGCACTTTGCTAGCAGGCGCAGTATTTAAGCACAGATGCAGCTGATAGAGTTTGGATTCTCATGTTGGTAGCATCTGAGAGTTTGTCACTGCCTGCAGAGGTCTGGGCATATACTTCTTGCACCAAATGCCAGCAATTTGCTCACTTCTCGAGTTGATAAAGAAAAAAGGAAACACTTGAGAGCAAATCTTCCACCATCCACTGCTCGCTGTTGCTCTGGCTTAAATTGCTCTGCACATTCTGTCTCTGATCTACTCAAGTATATAATTTCTTTCCATTTCCACTTATTTCCAGGAGCAGCTTCTTACATTTTACCTCTTAGATTACTTCACAAAGACTTCAACAGCCAACCCTCAAAGCTTTGCTACAGAGGACATTTTTAAGACCCAGCAGACCTTTTCCCAAATAACAACGAGTTAAACTCCCGAGAGGCTCACGAATTCGGTGCTGTTTCTGGTGAACTGGAGTGCAGAGCCTGGTAAGCAGGGTCCTCCCAAGGCTGCATAAAAATGCCACACGCATAAATGACTCCAACACATTTCCTGTGTGCCCAGCCAGCAGGAGTGCCAAGGAAAACAGGAGAGATTAAAACTTTATCTCCAACAACAGACTGCAGGACTGCCTTCCCACAGCTTCTGCTGCAGCTTTGGGAATTAAGTAACATTGGGGAGGGGTCTGGCTGGTGAGCCAGCATACCCCAAACACATCCAGGCCTGTCCCTAAATCAGTTCCACCCAGACTGCGTAGGGAGCCTTACTGGCACCCTGGCACAGCAGCGATCTCTGTAGAAGACCCGGCGAGCCAGGGAACAAGAGACAGCATTTGTGGCAGGACTCCTCTCTCCCAGCTCAAAACTCACTGCATGGCAATGTTCATCATCTAAACTAATACTTGCTTCCTTGTACAGACATACATCTCTGAAGAGGTCTTCTCTCCAAAAGATCTCCAAGAATTTTACAGGCGATTAAATTTCACAGTATCTTTTTGAGGGAGGTAGTGTTGAGTGTGGGGGTTTTTTAAAGTAGAAGAAACTGAGGCATGCTGAAGTTAAGTATCTGTCTCAGAAAGCCAGAGTGGAATCAGAAACAGACCGATCCCGAATTTCCAGTGTGTGCCATCACACACTCATTTCTCCATGATGCAACTCAGGAGATCCAATAGCCAAACCTTGAATGCTATTTTAATTTGCCAAATGTGGATGAAGTTTGTTACCCATATTAAGTATCTAGTCCTATTTCGGATTCACTGAGCTCTCAGTCTCAATCAGCTGGTATCCAGTCCACCAGTATCCATATAGGTCCATGAGGTCAACAGAACTCTACAGCTGTAGGATGTTTCTGTTTTTTAAAAAGCACAAAAGGCATATGTCATAAATTCATTCAAAGATCAGCAAAACTCCTTGGATGTTTCTCTTTTGCTTCTACAGAATGGATACAGTGCATCCCAATGCAGCCTTGACACAAGATTTAGTGCTTTGTTTATGCTGTGTTTAAGAGTTTGTATGGATTTTGTCTAAATGGCTGCAAATCAGTGAATTTTATTCAAAATGTACTCTCACTATTGTTTGCTTAACTGAGAGACATTTTGCTGAAAAGCCAGAAGAGTAAGGGTGACAGTCTGCTCAACAAACTGCCTTTCCTTTTGTTCTGCAGAGAAAACATTGGGACATCACTGTTTGTTTCTTTTTTTGATCCTGCTTCAGTCAGTGATATCAAAAGATACAGCTTCAAGATGACAAACCGGATACATACACTTGGGACAGTAACATGGGTTCGACAGTACCGATGAGAAGAATGCAATTAAGAGGGAGCTTGATTTATGAAAAGTAGACTGATTAAACCCGAAATACGCAGACATGTAAGCAGGTATTTAGGTATTACCATTATTCCATGTAAGTCTGGGTTATGGACTTTTTTTTTTTTTAATTTGTTTTAAAGAGGTGAATTCATAGAATTCAAAGCTACATTCCCCTTCATGGTGCACTTGTTACTACAAACAATACCTGTCTTGTAAAGGGGTCTCTGTTGACAATGACAGGCCTGAATAAACACTCAGCTGGCACATAGGTTTCCATTAGCTCAAGTTTACATGCCTTGTCATGCTTCTCCAGCTGTCATTTGTCACCGCAGTTTGCACAAGATCAGCAAACACTATTCTCCCACAAACTTTCCCCCGTTTCTTTCTTAGGACGAAAGGAAGAAAAAAAAAAAAAGGTGGGCGGGGGGGTACGAGGACAGCATAATCACTTCTTCTGCAGGGCACTCAAGCTTTACATGGAAGAGCAGCTTCAAGTCTTCTGTCCTCAGACCAAGAGGACAGCCCTGCTGTGCAGCGGTCTCCAAGGCAGCTATCCCAGCATAAGGCTCCACTTGGAGACATCATTATGAAGCCAGAGCCCCAAAGTGAAGCACAGCCAGGCTGGGGGGTTGTTTCAGTAGTACTTAACTGGCCACAGAGCCTTGGTGCTACTGACAGATCTGCAAGCCTAGCGGTTGTCAGAAATCATCTGTTTTCAGCTTTCACTGACCTTAAAGATATATAGAAATTTCTTTGCTCATGCTGGGCTACTGGGTGCTTGTGCATATTCCTCACAGGGACAGGGTAATTCAAAGGCTGGGCACATCGGGCAACTTTAGGTATACACAAACGGCATGTACATACAAACACAAAACCCCCAAAATATTTAAGGATTTTGGCATAAAACCCATGTCTAAAGAAAAGACAGTCCACTCAGTGGCACGTTCATAAATGTGCTCCAGAGACTGACCCTCACACAAAGCAAACCTTCAGCTCAGACTGTGGGCTTGTGATCGACATCTGATGAGGAGACGTAGGACACTTTGTCATTGCTCCCCCCAGCACAAACGCTGCCCTTGGCTCAGTCTGGTTCCAGTTTAGAAGTGGCGACATTTGGCGAGTCAACGTGACCTCAGCTTCATTGAAACTCCCCGCTTGCTATTAAACAGCCAGCAGGGACTTACGGGAATAGCAGGAACCAGATGGGAAAGCACCAGGACTGGTGACAGTGGAGCTACAGATCCAAAGGTCATTACTGCTCTGTAGGGAGTGCCTGAGCCACATGTGTGCTAGTCCAGCCCCCGGACTAAATAGCAGCTGCAGAGCTCAGTGGCCTGGGGAGAAAACCCCCTTTCCTTCCCAGCCTGCAGACGGCCCCAGCCCTCCCCAGGCTGTGTCTGCTGCGATGGGCATTTAACCAGCAAAAGCACCTGGAAGTCAGGCTGCGCGTGTTTGTTTTTATGAGGAGGGGCAGGGGGTTAAGCAGCAAAGCAGAGATGGAAAAGCAGATGACTAGCCAGTTTCGTGGCCCTGTTCTACTCTCCTGGTGCCTCTCCAGCAGCACGAAAGCTGCCACCTCCCAGCAAAGCCTGGGTGCCTGCTTACTCCCGGGTCCCAGCCTCTCTGAGCTGCCCACAAGGCATACGTCAGGGCCAGGGAAAGGGCATAGCAGCAGTGCCCCCCCTGGCAGTGTGGCTTTTTAGAAAGGATGGGAAAATAAGACTGTTCGGTTTCATTGCGGCTTTCTTTGCTGTTAGGAGAGTAGGGCAGATTCAGGCCTTTTCCAGGGGAACGTTGTTCAAGTGAATCGCACATGCTCCCCCTGCTAAACTTCTGTTAAACAGGTAAGACCAAATGCCAGGCAGACACTGCAGGGGTGGGTTTCACAGCCTGCTGCCCCAAGGGCTGGGGGGGTGCACCGCTGCGGCTGTAAGCCCAGCGCCTCCCACCGCTTGCTGTCACCCGGCCACCGTGTGCCACCGCCAGCTCCCGGTGCTCCACTGGGGGGACCCGTGGATGGATTTGTCCATACAAACAGGTTACGCTCTTTCCCCGTGATGTCACCTGACTACAACAGCGGTTGTTAAAACAGTGCTGAAAGCCCCGTTTCCATACTTTTGGGGCAGGCACTTTCCTGCTGCCTTCCCTCCTCTACCACTAATTATCCTCTCTGCCAAAGCATACATCCCAATGTGTGCAAATGATGAAACAGCTGGAGCCCTGCAAAGAGCTAAAGCCATGCAGCCTAGCCCTCAAGGGCAAACTGACCCTGACAAGGAATGCTAGAAAATCCCAAGATAAATCTGTGAAAGTAGCCTTCAAACAGGATTTGGTGCCACGGCCTCTGTTCATCCTTAGATGTTATTGCCCCTTTGAGCAGGATGAGTATCAACACAGGGGGTGGCGGACCTTTGTCATGCAGAAAAGTTAACATCCTCCAGATTTAAACGGCGCCATCTGAAGAGCAGTTCATGTTCTGAAATTAATTTTTCATGTGTACATCATGAGGTCCTAATAAAAATGTTAAAAAACTGTCTTTGTTGTCCTCCGATCCCAACAGGACTCCCTTCTCCCTTGGCATTTCTCATCATTGTTGTTGTCTGTAGACGACAAGGTGGTTGTTAAGGTTATGGTACCAGCTTCACAAAATGAGGAGGATTTAAAAAAAAAAAGAGAGAAAAACAAAAAGACAAAACAAAACAAAACCAGAAAGAAGATTTTTTTTTGGGGGGGGGGGAGGGGGGAGAAGAAACAGAAATGTGCCAGGAAGCAATATAAAAAGAAGCAGGGATTTTTGATGTTTTCTTTTCCCTCCTCCTTCATTCTCGGCTGAATTATAGGGCGTAGCATAGTATTTTCAAAGCATCTTTTACAAACTTTATTTAGTTCAGTGATTCACATTTCCCAAGCAAGGTTAACCAAAGAGAGGGATGTTTCTCCCCTTGCCCCTAGCTGTTCCCCAACTTTCAGCTAAATTGTATCACATCATTGTTAAAAATAATTGCCAGAAAGGAACCTTTCCTGATCTCCTCCAACAGCATTGTTTTTCCCAACAATGTGCAGGATGGTTCATTACTTTTATTCATTTTAGAGAGTGATTTTAAAGTACTTTGCACAATCTGAAGCCTCAAACTTAGATAAGACAGATGCACACAGTTAAGACTGAGAACTTCATGGTCATTGCCCACCAGAGCTTGTCGTCTTCTTCCAAACACACACCCCGAGTCTGAAAAAGCAAAAAGTTATGTATATGTCAGGCGACTTTCTCTCCTAGACCAAGTTGAGCACTCCATGGGAAAAGCTGGAGCTGAGATCAGATGCACAAGAGAAGACCTCAGAGCTTATCTGGGACTTCTAGGCCTACACAGACACAACCTGAATCTCTATGCTCCAGCAACCCACCTGAGCAGCATAGGCTGCAAGCTGATGCTGTGCTTGGGATGTGCGTCACTGTGACCACCAGGACCATAGAAGTGCCAGAGTGTTGAACCCTCATCAGCTGGCAGGATTTATATTTCCTCTGTTTGCCATGCAATACCCTCCACCACTCTTGCTGTCCAGTACTTGCTGCTGGACTCCCAGCTCATGACCCTTGCAGCTGGGAGAATATCCCCCAAAATTCAAGCAAGGGCTGTATGAGGGGCTTGCAGTCACTTACTTCATCAGTTCAGCCCAATCTCTGCACAACTTCTCATCTATTCTGGCTCCGCATTAGGGGGAACAGCAGCAGCCATGTCAGGGCTCCAGGAGAGTGAACATACGTACGGGTATTGGGCGGGGGAAGCTGGATACTCATGGGCATGACAGGCGAGGCAGCTCAGTCAATAAGAGAAAAGGTTTGAAAAATCCAGTATCCTTTAAAGAATATCTGAATACTTTAAAAAAAAAAAGAGTAAGATCAGCATAGGAAAATTTTACCCTTTCCTGCTTCCTTTTCACTGACTCAAAGAGAAGCTTCTGCTGTCTCCACGAGAAACAGCTGTAAGGTCAGATTTGTTTGAAGGGAACGGAGACGAGAGCCTCTGGTTTCTTTCCAAAAAAGCAGTTTATTTTAGATTCACAAAAGGTCAAGAAGAATAAATTGCAATGGATACTCTTCCTGTGTAGCCAAACATGTTTCCAAGCAGAAACATGATGTTATAAAGAAACAAACAAGTAAATATAAGGAGTCTGAAGAAAAGCCCAACCCTCAAACATTTTTGACTGCAGAATGCTATCACTCTCACATACGCTCAAGGAGCAAAATTACTTTTAAGGGGCAGGGGGGTTAGCTGTGACTTAGATAAGCATAGAGTCTCACTTTTGGGGGATAGTTACACATCGGAACAAACATCCTAGCACTGAATGAAAATCTGCCAGCATGGCTTAGTCTTGATCTCTATTGCAATCCCTTGTACAACAACGGAAATGGTGTATCAGCCAGAAAACCCATAGCTCTGCTGGAAAGTGCTGAATGCACACAGTAATATATGCAGTCTGTTACCTACAGTATATGAGGTTTATTTAGGTCCTTCACTCCTGATCTGCATGCTCTAACAGCAGCATGTTTAGCTGTTTGGATGCTTTTATTCCCACATGGTTTCCTTCAAGCAGGTACATGTAGCTCCATTTCACCAAGTGATGGAGAAAAATGCAAAGGATTACCTGGAGGATGTTAATCTACTTAGATTGTAAACCAATGTTCTGGTTTAACCCCAGCTGGCAACTAAGCACCACACAGCTGCTCTCTCACTCCCCCACCCCCAGCAGGGTGGGGAGGAAGAGAATTGGAAGGGTAAAAGTGAGAAAACTCATGGGTTGAGATAAGAACAGTTTAAACATTGAAATAAAATATAGTAATTATAATAATGAACTGTAATGAAAAGGAAAATAACAAAAGAGAGTGAAATAAAACCCAAGAAAGACAAGTGATGCAAGTGAAAACAATTGCTCACCACCAACCGAGCAATGCCCAGCCAGTCCCCGAGCAGCGGACCCCCGGCCAACCTTCCCCCTAGCTTTATTGCTGAGCACAATGTCATATGGTGTGGAATATCCCTTTGGTCAGTTGGGGTCAGCTGCCCCAGCTGTGTCCCCTCCCAACTTCTTGTGCACCCCCAGCCTACTCGCTGGTGGGGTGGTGGGAGAGGCAGAAAAGGCCTTGACTCTGTGTAAGCACTGCTCGGCAGTAACGAAAACATCCCTGTGTTATCAACACTGTTTCCAGCACAAATCCAAAACATATACCATCTACGTCATGCTCAAGTCCCATATTGTCCAGTACAACCTCATTAACCACCCGCCCCACTTTCCATCCTTTGATATAACACACAGATATCATTCCCTTAGTCTATGGACCACCCTTGTGGAATGTCTGTAAAATGTCCAGAAATGTTCATGAAATATCCATTGAGTTCATTTAGTCCATGACTCTGGGCTCCATCTGTTACGGTGGTCACTCAGGACAGGAGAGGTGGTGTGTTGCGTGGAGTTACTGGGCACCAAAGCCAGCTCAGGTCGGGTCACTGCTGCACTTGCACTGCTTCTTGTAAGGCTTGTCCTCCATTGGTTCAGGTGGTTCCTGCTGTAGTAATTCCTATAACGTGCAACTCAAATCCTGGGTTACAACAATTTAAAGGTATTTCCATTACAATCTCCACCCCAGTCCCTTTGGGCCAGGTTATAGGCTTTAACATTGCAGCGAACTCCCCTTGCTCCTAGCCTGGCTAGCAGCAAGGGGTTCCTGCTATAGTAATTCCCATAACATGCAACTCAAATCATGGATTATTTTCACCCAGGATTAAATCACCTTGAGGTACACATTGGACTCCCCTGTCCTTCTGCATTGGACCACCAAGTGCACCCAGGTCCTTGAGCAAAAACAATCCCATGAATATGTTTACCTTTTCCTACTTATTTTTGTGGGCTTAAGCCACTACTAGATATTTAGCATATTCTGCAGCCAACAAAAATTAATGAGAAATGCAGATCCTACAAAGGGGAAGAACTATTGGATAGATTTATATCATTGCCTATTGATGTCTCTAGTACTAAGGAAGCCTACCAGGACCTGGAAACAGCATGGCTGTGTCTCCAGAGGACATTGTTTATTTATTTGCGCCTAACACTCAGCTGGATTTTGACTTGGGTCAGCACAGGCTCTAATGAGCCCTGCCCAGACATTTATGGAGGATGTCTACTGGCTGCCTGAAAATGGTCTGTGGCCAAGGAGACCAGAGCCTCTCTGCCCCAAGTGCTGGGAGATGGAGACAGGCTTTCTCTTTTGTGCTTACACAGCACCCAACACTGGGCACCGTGGTCCCAGAGCTATCATTTCTCCATCCTACTGCCATACCAAAGCAATAACAACTGTCTTGCTGAGTTTCCAGGTAATAAAGTTGCAATTTTCTCTAATTGCCATGATCACTGACAGTTTACGTTAATCAAGTGACACCAACATAAAGTGATGGGCTGCCAGAGGACTAAAAAGCATTTTACCCTCAGCTGTTTCTGACATGTTTGTGTGCACAGTTCAGTTTACCATTAAGAAGGGCAAATAATGACCCATCTCCAATTCGAGGCTGGGTCCCTTAAGTCATAAATTGAAAGCCAATGTTTAAACAAAGAGACACAACTACAAATTCAGCTTGACACTCTCCAGGAAAAGGGTCATTAGGCAGCAGAGGCCAGACAATCTTCATCTGGCCCTTAGGAGGTTTCTGCTCTCTACTTTAATGACCACTGAAGATGATATCATTCATCTTAACTTACCCCAGTTCGTAACAATACAAGGGTCTGAAGAAGTCAGGCCAGTTACTGGATATAGGTGCGTGATGGCTCTACACATGCCTTTTTTCCCTTGCAAACCATCATGCAGATGTGCAGCCTGAGGCACAGCCCACCAAGCAACCTGCCAAGCATCAAAGGATGCATTTTGTGCACCAGGTCCGGCTGTGGCACTGTGCCACAACCTGGGGGATGGGAGGGGATCTGAAAATACACCAGTGGGGCCCTTTCAGGGCTGATTCACGGGAATCAGCATGACCCATGGGCCATGGCATCCCAGACCACCACCGGCTCCTCCACCATCATTCACAGATGTGAAACACTGCTGAAGGATTTCATAAAACCATCTGCCTGCCTCTCCTCTCTGTAATCCTGGGGCATAATCCTAAAGAATGGAATAGGATTTCAGCAGGTAGGAAAAGTATAATGTTGCCATGTGGCTTTTTCTATTGATTTGAAGATGAACTATTAGTATCTGAACTGCTAGATGCTTGGATACATATATAATCCTTCACTTTGGAAGACTACTTACTACTTTCTGCACCCCTGAGGCTTTCTGTCAACACTGACAACTCCCATCTAGGATGGGAAAGCATTAAAAGTGTTTCCACTTAATGGTAATCAAATTATTTTTTAAGAACTCGTAAAACCCAAACAACTCTTCTTCCATTATACTCTCCCAGCGAAAGCCAGTAAAGTTTCCAGACAGGCAAGAAAGAACAGTTATACCCTATGGAAAAAGGTATTTGAAAGATAGACTTGCTTCCCCTAAAGAGAATTCAAAGGCAGACAAGCAGTTGTATAAAGAAAACGGGGAAACAACACAAATTAATAATATATGTTCTCCTAGAGTTGTGGGTCTGCTGCAAAAATGCAGAAGGGGATGGGAATTCACTGACTGTCAACTTAGTGTAGTCACAGTGATGGAATAAGTGCCTCGTACATAACTGAAGGTCTTATTTTAGGGTATGTCCAGAAGCTTTTTGCTGTCCTGATATGTAGTTCTTAGAGCTTTCCCTTTTCTCCTCCGTACTTTAAACTAGAAACCTACACGGTCAGCTGCCGAGTGAATGGAAAATCCTTCTTCATTCCAGAGCACACAGCTATATGCAAATATTCCTGTTAAAATCCCACTCTCAAATTTAACCTCTCAGCAGTCCTGCAGGCTGATACGTTCAGTCTGTTCTAAACTGTAAAATCTAATGCAAAAATGCTCCCACAAGCTGTGTCTGGCCCGGAAGTAGAAGAGCTCGGTTAACCGCGTGAACCTTTAATTTGTAAATGCAGAATCCTCCCTGCCCGATGCCTTTGCTTCTGACAAAGCCCGTCCTCAAACAGCAGCGAGCGTATGCCATCCCGGTGGGTATGTGCTGCAGGGGCAGGTGGCCAGGTTGGTATTTTACATCTTTATTTTTTATTTATTTATTTCTTAAATCGTTAGGCACTTTCAGAGCAATAGATGTGCAGATTGAGTAATTCCCATTAGGACAATTGCACCTACAGCAATACAGTTTGGTTTTTTGTCAGCCTGCCTCACTGCAATACATCTACAAAGACGGTCGCGCACCAGAACAGGTCAGCAAGGGACAAACTGTGTCACCTGATGCCCTGATTCTGTGAGGAGTTCAAGCGCATATTTAATTGCCAGCTTGTTTTGACTATTCACGTCCAGAAAAAAGGCACAAGCTGGAGTGCCTTGCATGACTTGGTCACAGAGCAGTGTAACAAGCATTATGTGAGCTCAAAGACAAAAGTCAAAATTAAGGTTTTGATTTTAAGAGCCTGACCAGGGATGGGTTTGATGAGAAAATGAGGACTGCCACGCCTAAATGAGCACATCTGGTCAACTTTACTTTTAACAGGACAAAGACCCTTTTCTCTGAGGCCAAGATACTAGGTCTTTAATCTTTTTCCATATTTCTCATGCTTATCACATACGGGCATATCGTAAAGATGTCTTTATCACTTCTTCCTTTTGATTAAAGGCTCTGAGTAATGCTAGCCAATATCAATAACGATGCCCTAAAATTAACATTATCATCACACCAGAACCTTGCAGGAAACACAGTGTTAATCTCACTAGTCCCTCTCGTACAGATCATCCAGAGCACTCAGAAAAAAAAAAAACATGAAGAGCAAGGCTCTTCAACTACATTATGT